GACAAGGTTTTGTCATCATCAGGTACCCCTTGTCGAAACGTTGTACATTTGCTGTTATGTTAAACTTATATTAAAGTTTTTCTTCATTACCCATTCAAGCCGTCCTCCAGCCATTATTAGTCTCAAAGTGGGTTCCTCGTCACCGAATAGTACTGATATGTACAAAATCTGGGATTTGTATATAGTCAGTTATGAATGCAGGAAGGTGCACTGTATTGTTGTTATGAATTACTGAGATGATACAGCAAACCTGTGAGACATCTAGTGGTCCTCGGTGATCTAAGGCTGGAAATTCTTTGAACGGATGGTACCAAAGAGTACAAGGACTATTGCCAATGAGTAAAAGCAGTTTTCTGGACTCACGTGCATAAAGACAATGAGTGATGGTGTAGAAAAAGTACTAAGTATGCTAGTGAGGGAGAGAAAAAAAACTGGCCACACTATGAAAATTCAGGAAGAAATGAGTGAATTCCTTCTGTCGTGTGGGTCACCCTAGATATATCTGGCCTTGTTCCTGAAACTGTAAAAGTAAGGACTATGTGTTGGGTCTTATCAATTACTTCACCAAGTGGAATAGAAATAACAGCAACATTTTGCTATACACCCATCAATACTGTTTTACTTACCTGAACAATATGTCAGAATTAACTTAAGTATTTTAGTATTTTTTGTCCTATCTATGAATAACAAAAAATGATAGGATTGGCATTAGAATTTTTTATTTCAGAGATAATAATTAAAAACCCTGTTCACCTAGATATAAACTTGAGTTCAAATTTTTAGATTTTTGTTTTGCTGAATGAGACGAAGTTTGCTAATAATTTGAATTATTTTTTATAGAAACATACATGACCTTGATGAGCCACTATACTTTCTAATGTTCTTATTTGGATTATCCAATGCTCATTTTCTGCCAAATATGTATTTTGTTTGTGCAAATGTCAATGAGAAATGCAGACATAAAAAAAGGTTATGGACATATCATCGATTATTGATTCTTTCCAAGTTTTTCTACTCAGTACAATGACTTACTTTCCACACAGAATAACCTTCATAAACGTGGAAACGTCCTTGCATACAGATAACCTGTGTTCCATTCAACTTGCCAAAAACAAGGAAACCTAAATGTCCAGGTACTAGAAGGAAAGGAAAAACACGAATAATTATGATTAATGTCATATAATGAGATCTAAAAGTAAAACGTACATATATAACTTATCATATCTTATCTTAAATAAATGTTCATATATATGTAATTAAACTTAACGAACCTTGTCTCATATCAATGTAAATGTGAGTAGGTATAGATTTAAAAACGTTACTGAACATCATGCACTCGCGTATCTCCTTTCTTCATCTTCCATTTCAACTTTAAGAAATTATGAAATTTAACAGTTCATCTTTTATAACAAATTGATCCAAATATTTCACATATATTTTGTACATGTATAAATCTAATACATTAAATTTAAACAGATTTTATGCACCTTCTATCAAAAATCAAGCTGAAAACAGTATATAGGATGCAACAAAATTATCTTTCCTATTTTAAAATATAATTATTAACTAACTAAGTAAATACAACCATGCAGTTTGCAATATCTTGTAGCCAAACTCAAACCGTTTTTATTGACACTTCAATAGATTTCTAGGTGTGAATCATTAGTGGCTCTCGGTATGTCTAACCGATATTCGATTTCAGTCCACGTTCCGTGCAACATGTCCACAGTTACAATGGCGATGGCGTCCATTATCCTAGTTTTTAGCACCGTAATACTTGTTATAGGCGTGAGATACACGATATCCTTAACATACCCCCATACTTCTTTCCTGCATTGGCGTCTGTGATTACGCTGCACCACAGTCGCTGAATGACATGGTCTCTGCAAACCAAAAGACGCATTGAACCTTTACTTGCGCGGTTGCCATTTTACGGGGTAAAACTACTCATGAAATGAAAACAAAAAATAAAAACAACAATATGACAATAAAATCTATTTGAGTTGGGCTACAAGGTGTTGAAAATTTCGTGGTTGTATTTCCTTAGCTATTTAATTATTAAATTATAAAATAGGAAATATAATTTTGTACCACCCTGTATATTCTACATGACAATGCTAAATGTACAACATAAATATTTTCAACTTGGCTGTTATTTAGAAATTTCCTGTTTGTATAATGAAGCATGAATATAACACTTTCCAAAGTGTGTTAAGATGAACAACGTTATAATATAACGCAGGGTAAGCCGTATATTACTAAATAAGTACAACATTATAGAATAACCTACTGTAAGTTGTATATTACTAAATAAGTACAACATTACAGTATAACCTACTGTAAGTTGTATATTACTAAACAAGTACAACATTACAGTATAACCTACTGTAAGTTGTATATTACTAAATAAGTACAACATTACAGTATAACCTACTGTAAGTTGTATATTACTAAACAAGTACAACATTACAGTATAACCTACTGTAAGTTGTATATTACTAAATAAGTACAACATTACAGTATAACCTAGTTGTATATTACTAAATAAGTAACATATTCCTGTGGTCACAAACATATTGAGTTCAATAAAAATAAACTACCTGTGCTAACAGGAAAGTCTGGAATCTCTTTATAAGGAAAGCTTTCCTTCTCATATAATATATCAGCCAATCCACCCATTCCAGTACCACAGATGATACCAATCTCTGGCCTCTGACTGGTTCGACTCAAGATGAATTTAATTATAGACTCAATACTTTCATAGGAGTATCTGCCAGCCAATGAAATGAAAAATATTAGAAATTACTTAATAGAATTTATGAAGCTAATAAGTAACCAAATTTCAAAGACAATCTGATTTGTCAGTTGTAACATTTTTTAATAACAGTAAATTCGTGCTTAAAAATAAGTTCTTAAATATGTGAAAAAGTATATACAGAATAATCTGATGTTTTCAGTAATGTAATTTATCATCAGTAAAATTAAGATAAGACATGCACAATTAAGTTATAAATATTGCACTTTATAACGGAAGGTAAACTTTTGGTTTTCAGCTATCTTTCTTTATGATCCTCTTCACGAACCAAAGATACTAATATAGTTTTATCAACTGATGCTGACCCAACTGTGAATAGGGCAGCACTTGCATTAATAAGCAAATTAAAGTAACTTCCAAATAAAATGTCAGATTCATTTAATCAAAAATTGTGACGATTCCATTTTTTTTAACTGAACTATAGAACCTTATTTATTACTGTCACGAACATAGGAATCCCCGAACCTCAAACTGAGACCCACAGAAGTGAATATAATGCATTATTTTATAGTTGATGTACGCAGAATTTTCATAATGAACAAAGGAAGATGAAATGGACAGTAAATGTCTAGTTTATTGTTACTCTTGTGTAGAAAGTCTTGGGGACTAATCTACAAAAATAGCTTAGATGGAAAGGAAAACGTTTTGAAATAGTCTCATTTTTCATCTCCAGACCAGCTTCCACCGGTTTTCATAGGGATTTATAAGGTGTTCAAAATTCCGAGGTCTGAGACTTTGTAAGCGATGGTACTAGATGGTACCGCGTTGATAAAGAGAGAGATCCTTTGAATTTTTCGTGTTTTTCCAGAATTTATCTGAGTTGATGTGTTTATAATTATCCCAGTCTGTTTTATGTTCAGCTGGCAGCACCTTCTGCCAGCATAGAATTCTATGTTTTATCAGTCTTTTGCTGACTTTATGTTCTTTGATTTTTTATTTGAAAGTGTCTTCCAGTTTCTCCGATTTAAGACTTCTTAGGAACATGTTATTTCGTAAATAACGTTTTTTTAGGTTTATTTCAGATGTTATTTGTTTTGTTTTAAAAAGGACAGATATGAGTGTTCTGTAAGTTTTCCAGCGAACATCAATGTTGAAATTTTTGGTCCCACGTTTGATCTTCTAACTTAAGTTTTGCGCATGCGGGAAGTAAATTGTGTTGGACTTGTTTTTCTTGTCTGGTGTATAATTTCATATGTTTATGTTCTTCAAGTTACTGGTCGCAGATGTCCTCACATCTATTATTCAAGCACTTGATACTGTGGATGGTAATGTAAGTAGCTGTCAGTATGATCTGGTTTTCTACATATAGTTGTAGTGAGTTTGTCATTCTGCCTGCTGACGAGAATATCAAGGAACGGTAAGCTGTTCTTGTTCTCTATTTCCGTGTTAACCATATAAACCCTTGCATATACAGCGCATGCTGACATGAAACTGAAAGAGGAAACTCTTTCGAAACATCGTCTTTCCCACGTGCGCTATTATCACCATAGGTATCGTGCTGAATTAAGCAGTTGTTGCCCATTTCGCCATTGTTCAAACAGATCCACGGAATTAGCTGATTAAAATTTCAAGAACAAGTACATCTACACTATTCAACTAAATACTGAGAAGAATTTTGAAGTAAAATAAATAACTGACTGCCCATTCGATTACTACTTACATTTACACGTTGTTGTTGTTTTTTCTGTTGTAACAAATCAGGCTCACAAACTATTTGCTTTGACCACAATATAAGTGGAATTCAGGAAAATTGTTTTAGTATAATTAAGCCTAAAGCCTGGTTTCACTAGAACATTAAAAAAGAAGAAGAAAGATACGAAAGCGACCAGATTTATGTTCTGTTTTAATGTGTTTAAAAACAAATTTTGTTGATACTGGTAAAAATAAATTACATTATGACGGTTAAAATTACAAAATTTCTTCCCACCTATCATTGCATTTTTTATCATACTAAGTAGTGAGGCATTCCTTCCACTGCGCCCTCTTTCCTGCCCCACCACTGAAGGAAAAATTTGCATTTTTTTCAAACGGAAAAAAATAGATGTTTAGAAATGACAATTGATGTATAGTTCGGACCGGAACTAGGTGACACTGTGCTAATATGTTTTGATGTAACATTTGTAGAACAAACTTATAAAACTTGAATTTAATGAGCTTTTAACCATGATCCCATTACATGCTATAAGAAATATGCTCGTTTTTATAACTAGTGTGTCCTCATATATTGATATTTTACTTGCGAATGATATTTATTGTGATTGGTAAATTTGAACGATGGATTGTAGAAAAAAAAATTTGGCCCTTTTTGAAAGTTTGCCCCACCACTGAAAATTCCTATAAAATGCCCTACCACCCATCCTCAATTATTTAGTTCATCTTCTCTCAATGAAGAAATCCTGGCTGTGAGCTCGATCTTATAAG